CTTTTCCTCCGACAACGTTTTTTGAAATAGCTGTATGCTTAACGGATACTTATTAAAAAGCAAGCTAACAACCAGGCAGACACAGGAGGCAAATGTAATTGCAGTAGGCTTCCAAAATTTATCATCGCTAGCTATTCATGAAGAATTAACTGGAGGATTGCAGCCAATCACAAAACGGAGAAATACTTTGCATGAATAATAACGCAAATTAATACCCAGAGCAAAATAAAAACGAACGATCGTCAATTATTAATGTCCAGTGGGTCATTTTCTAAAGAGTACAGGTGTAGGAAAAAAATCTAAACGTTATCACAAGTGAAGACTTCTCGTTTAGTGTTTAAGTCAAAACTCTCCTTCTGCAATAAAAGGGATACTTTTCGATCAGCATATTTTTGCTTAATGGAAGAGAAAACCTAGCTACACGAGCGTGATAAAACAGAAGCTGCAGTAATTAGTATCGCGAGCGATAATTTGAAGCAAGTCGTAATATCTCACCGTATATCATATATCATATTTATATGTATATAGTTTACTGCATATGAGTTTATCTTATCTTATGACAAGAAAACTTTACAGCCATGGTGGCTAATCAAAAATTCTACCCATAAAAGTATGCTGGTAAATTTTTGGTTTCTCGAGTGGTCAGAAACACGTAACTCGCAATTCCAGTTCGAATGTACGGATACAGTCTAAACGTGCACCTTACGTTTGTATACATACACTATTTGCATTTAACTTCCAGATTTTAGGCTCTTTTGAGATTTTTTAATGATAGAAATGTCTGTTTCCTGCGTCTTAAACTATCACGTCAAATGGATACAGCTCTTAGCACTGCCAACAAGAGCGATAGTCAATAGAACGCTTTATCATTTTTTCAATAACTGAAGAAATTCTTCAATGTAGGTTACCGCACGACACGTACTAACGAACCTTTTTGTACGAGCTTACCATTAAAAGTTTTAAGATCTGCCAAATTATCGAAGATAATATACAGAAAACTTTTATTTAATGTTGCCCTTTGGAAACTTTTTTTTAAACACACATACAATTTCTTAAACGTTTGAGTTAAAAATTATCATATCAACCACCGCTTTTGTTCGAAGCTGTGTAACAAGTAAGCGTAACTATATTGTTCGCAATTAACATTTAAGGAAAAAAAGAAATATACTGAAATACCTGAATTGAAAATATGGTCCTTTTCTCGCCTTGTTTCACGGTTTAATGTTTAATTAACATTGTGAAGGTTTTGCAAACATGAACACAAATAGTAATAATGTTGGAGTGTGACTCCTTTCATCAAAGTTTTAAACCGAACGCAAATTAAACTAAATCTTCCGTATATGGTAAATGACGTCACTGTATTTACAGAAAAAAGGATGCTGTAGTTATTACTACCACGCACACAAAGCAGTTTGAACCCACAAATGGCTATCCCTTATATGTAACTTTTAATGGTATCTTAATGGTATATTTTGGTTTCGCCCAACTTTTCTGACTTTTCCCACTCTGAGCAATTTCTAGTTTTCTATCAATTCTGATATAACAGAGCAACTTTTGGCGCTTAACTTGGCCTTTCTTCCATATTTCACAATGTTTTGGTAGACAATTATTTTATGACTTTCCTATGAAAAAGAAGCCAGATCCCGGCTCACTCTTGTCGCAGATAATGGGCACAAGATGCATGCAGCCGGGCTGCTAGGTCAACTTTTTTTTAAAGAAAATTAAAAGAGGTTGACGTAAATGGTTCGAAGTCTTGACAACAGCAGCAACAATTTTATTGGCTCATACTAGAATTTTTACAAGATTAATATTAATATCGATTGTGGTCCGATTCCCTTTAGGGGCCGATCCTACATTGAAAAAATATCTCTCATGGCGTATGCTGGAGAAAACGTAAACCGTTATATGTCAGGGGAAAATATTCTATCAGGGTTTGCGCAAAAAATTTTTTTACTCAAACTAAATCACCCATACCCCCTCTCCCTTAAAAGTCAAACGGTTGACCCCTTAGAGGTCTGTCATAGGTCATAGGTCGGATTATGACAGACTGCGCACTAATCGCAATGGCCCTTAGGATTTTAATAAACCTCCCCACAATCCATAACATTTCTTGAAGCAATTAAGACAAATGACGCTTTTCGTTTATATCTTAAACTAGACTATCAGCTCTAGTCCTACAGGTACGTGTTTTTTTTTTTTTTTTTAATGGTGCGTAAGCAAGGCTTAGGTTTTCTTGCAGCCGTCGACTGGACCATTTAAGGCAAAGATTCCTCATCGAACCCTTTCCTTGTTAAAAAAAAA